GAAAAAAAAAGGGGGGGAAAAGGGGGGGGGGGGGGGGGGGGGGGGGGGGGTTAGGCGCGGAATCGATGTGGAATGCGACCTTTTTCATTCCACTTCCCACGCAATCGTCCCCCCTCGTTGTGAGTAATTGGCTGTATTGGTGCAGGCTAACTTATTTTTACCCGGCCTGTATTCGTTTTTTAAGTACATTGTTTTTTTTATATCGGTAGACTAGACTGCGTGAACACAAAAAAAAAGTGACGGGGGATGGAGATGGATTGAAAACACGGTTTCGCGGCGATCTTTTTTTGCCGCTTGGTTCATTCTCGTGTCTCGCTGAGTCTACGTTGTTGTTTGTAAGCATGGTTATTGTGCGTGGTGGGTGCGATTGTTCGCGTTCGGAATAAACAAAGCGGGCAGTTGTTCGTTTCCGTCTGATTTCGTTCCATCATTTTTCACAGGGTAGGAACGGAAGTAGCGAGAGTTACATAGTGACCACGAGCTGGATCTGTGCGGTGCGGTTGGTTGTTCACGTCCGGAAGGATCCGAACGAATCAATTCCTGAATGAAGCGTCGCGCTTTGAGATCGTTCCGAGGTACTACGTACGTACGTGAGTAGTACCGTTTGTCCTATATTTTGCTTCGTTTTCGTAGCGCTTTCCACGCAAGGGACTCTCAGTGTAGCAGCAGGCGTGGGCCGCTGATCTCTGTACGTCGAAAGAGAAAGAATGGTTTGGGAAATGAACTCGCGCGCGGTGGGCAGAGGCACCCAGGGTTAGTGTCGGAAAAGCCCCGTATCGTGGCTTGGGTTTGTTTGTTGTTGTGTACCATGGAGCTACGCGGTACGTGCCCAAGTAGAAGTTCGTCGGCCACTACCGCCGATGACAGAAATGAGCCACACGGACAGGAAGTGCGTGGGTCGCGTCTAGTTTTATCGTCAAGATACTCGTAAGGAAGGGAAGATGAGCTCTCAATTAATGGATGGCAAGTGGGAAAATTCATGAGAGAGCCTAGCACAGGTTCCCGGGTCGGTCATGGTTCTGAGCGGACGAAAGAACAGCGAAATCTGAACCAACCGTGGTCTTTCGTGGGGGGGCGATTACTTCGGCTTCGGCTGGACATCGCTCTCTCCTTCTCTCGACGAAAGAAAGACCTCACGACGCCGTGGGTGATCCAAGTTGTTGTTGTCCTGATGAAATCTGGAGGGTCGCTGGTTTCAGCGTACATACGCGGAGCCTTGAGACAACCACACGGCAGCAGTGAAGTGTGCACACTCTCGGGGACTGACTGCGGCAGCACTGCGGTCGGATGTTACACGGACGGTGGTTGGTTTGGTGGATACATGTACTCTTTCCCGCCCCGCCCGCAACAAAAAATACGAACAGGACGGTTTGTTTGGAACAAAAAAAAAACTAAGTGCCTGCAGCACGCGTAGTTAATAACGCAACGCAACAAAGCTTTTTTACGGGTGAAACGACACCCCCAACCACGTTGCTGCTTGCTTTTTCGGCACGCCCGTGCCTGCAGCGTTAACTCACGTCCTTGTGTGTGCATCATCTTTGCAGTCTCTTGGCCTCGTCTCCACAACTAAACCCGGCTGAGCGTTACTCCCAGCTTTCGATCTGTCGGTCATTTCATCATTTATTTTTTTGCACTGTGGCACATCGTTTGTCTCCCCGCACTAGTACCACTATTTTTTGTTGTATAACCGTCCACCCAACCATCGCCTCTTTTCACTCGATCGGCGAACTCGCCCCCAATCTCCCATGCTTTTCAACAAACATCAAACGATAAAATGTAGATCGGTTCCGTTATTGATGACCACTTAATATTCTACGGCAGACCAGATGAGTCACTACATGTATGCATACGTACATGCACGCACCCACCCACCCGAGGACGGTTCGGTTGTAGACATTAACGCTTGGTTGTGTCTGTCCTCCTTTTTTTCCCTTTTCGGAACGCCTACCACTATTATTTTTGTTCACAACGTTGTTTGTTGTCGTCACATTTCAACTCGTCCCGGCCTCCTCTCAGCACCCAACCACCCGTAGGTAGGTACCCATCCAACTGACGCGGATGAACGCACGTCTTCCGTGGCCACAAGGCCAACTACCCCGGCCCGCCCAAATAGGGTATAGACATACATACCCAATCGTTCAAAAATCAAACGAACATAACCTACTACGCGATGTAGAACAAAAAACATCGACGAAAAAACAGAACGAAGGCACTTCTGCAACAAGAGTCCCTAGACAACAATCAGATATCGCTAGCATATATTATATTCGGGAAGCGAGGAAATATAGAGACAGATGGATGTGCACGCGATGCGCCAAACAACACAATACTTGCAAGTAACGGAAACGAAAAGAATCCAAAAGATCCCCCATCTTGGGCAACATACATCGCATGATTCAACCCCCGGATCACCCCCCTACGACGCCGGGGTGCGTTCACCGCTGGGGGTGGTTGCACCCCCCATCCGCGCAATTTTCCCCAACACGTACGCAAACCACCTATTAGGTAAATGTGTTGCGGTTTTGTCTGTAAGCTCCGTTCCAACAAACGAGTAAGACAACTTTTTCCCATGCATGATAAGAATGGTTGTGGTCCTACAATGACCATATGCATAGAGGGCGACTCACGTCCTCTCTACTAAACACGACAACTACTACAATAACAACCTGTCCACGCAAGCAAAAACCGGTCGCCCCGTCCGTGTGGTAGGTTCAAGCGTTTGTGACCCTGACTCGGTAGGTTGTGGGTTCAAATCTCTCTCGGCAAAAAAAGCAGTGGAAACCATTTCGAATGGAAAACGCACAACATGAGGCAGGCAGCCAGTCGTGACTTCAGACAAAGTATGGCATTGAGCTAGCTACAAAAACTGCTGGATGAATCCTTCTCTTAAAAATTGAACTAAAAAAAGAAAAGAAATGCAGGCAGGCAGGCACCTCAGGAGGAAAGGCGCAGCAAAAAAAAGAAAGAAAAAAAATGAATTAGCAGTGTTTTAACTATCCTCCCGTTTGCGCGACCCCGGATGGGGCGTCAAAACACCAAGAGTAACGAAAAGGGGTACGGTAGACTGCTGCCCAGAATATGTCTGGGACGGAAACAGCATAAAAGAACACAAAAACACACCTGATTTTCTAACCCGTCACCACGCACCCTTTCGTGTAAGTATGTGTTTTATGCGGCCGCCGGGCATGAACAAAAAAAGAAGAGGGCCTACACCTGTACATTTTTTTCTGGTTCTGCCGCGAACCCAAGAAAAAGCTACGTACCACCTCCCTCCCTCCCTCCTTCCGCACCGGCAATGGCCATGTGTGGTACAATAGTTCACACCTTCCATCAACCCCAAGACTAGCGCCTCGACTACGACACGCTTCCAGCAAAATGCGTCTCCAACTCCGGTAAAGCCCAACCTAGTCAATCCACAATTACATGGCTATGAACCCCTCCCCATTACTGCTGCTGCTGATGATCTGCTGCTGCTGGTGTCTGAAAATAAACGCCCACAAAAAAGGGGGAAACGCACACGCCTCGACCCGCGTGGTGGCCCGCCAAAGAAAGGTGGATTGGTTCATTCTCCCAAGACGCGCACGCGACAACAAGATCAAGATTGGGCTTTTACCAATTTGCCATTGCTTCGCTGCCGCTTGCTTCCAGAGTCGGCACACCACCTCTAGCATGTATCAACGCCACACGCATGCGTCGTTCGACCAGACCCTTCCGTTCAGCTGCTGCTGCTACTGCTCCTACTGCTGCGTTTCCTGCTCGCAAAGAAAAAAATTACTTACAGTTCATTTGCCCGCCCCTCGCTCCACAAGAGACTACAACATTGAGTAAGGCAAGAGATTCGGTTGGCACGCGATTACAGTCCATTTGCCCGCCCCTCCCTCCGCAAGAGACTACAACATTAAGTAAGACGAGAGATTCGGTCGGCACGCGAGGGCGCGCGCGTTACAGCATAACGTTGCATCCGCACCGTGGAGCAAAAACAATCGAGAGCAGCAAACATTTGACACCAACAAGGCTACGACAAGGGACGAAAATAAAGGCGGAAACGGGCCACGCAAGCGCGCGGCGGCGCGTACGCACGTGCCGGTATTTTTTCTTCGGGCTTGCTGTCACAACAGCTGGGTTCTTCTCGTCACAGATCCTCCTCTTTCCGTACTCTACTCTTCACCAGGAAAGTTGACGAGCTCCAGCGGCCATCACCCAGTACGATACAACGCATCCAGCCAAACGCCCGAAAAAAACAATCGCTCATAAGAAACCCCAGATCATAGCTCGGGGACTCCCCACCAAAAAAGGCATCAAGAGGTAAGAAAACCGGAAGCAAAAACTTGCTTCAAACTCGCGGGCTGGCAGAACCCACGGACTGCTGTCCCCTCTTGCGCCAAGACAATACAGCAGGACAAAGGAGATGCAGCAGCACTATCGTCCCGCCGAAAAAACATGGAGAGCTTGGCGTTTTCTTTTGCGGGGACCCCCCAATATACGTTGTGGGGACCCTAACAATGTGGCCGCAGCTGCTTGCTGCGTGCCTGCGGTGCCTACCTCCAAGTCGAAGCAAAAAAAAAAAAAAAGCACACGCCAAGTCCTGCTGCCAACAACTCCGACCGACAAACGGGGGGCGTCTTTGATGTCAACTCCGTCTGGTCGCCGACGCCGGACCGCACACAAAAGGCGAAAAAGAAACTGCTCGAGCACGAAACGCCGCCATAAGAAGTGTTTCGCTTCAAAACCAAGAGCGTCATGATCGACGAACATTCGTTTGTTCTCTTGATGTTGTTGGAAGAGCGTCAAGCGAAGACGCCCCCCCCCCCCCCCCTGGGGGTTTCCCCAAACGGGGGGCCCCCTTTTTCTCGCCCCCCGCGGCGTTTATTTCCCTTTGGGTTGGCCCCTTGAAGGGAACCCAAAAAAAAAAAGGGCACGGGGGCCCGGGGATAAAAAAAACGAAGGGGGGTGGCCCTTTTGGGGGAAAAAAAAAAAGGGGAAATTTTAACCCTTGGGCGAGGCGCCGCCGGGGTCGCAAAGATTAAACCATCGAACGATCATTTCCGGGGGGGGGGGGGAAACCCCCCCATAAAAATCCCCCCCCCCCCCCCCAGGTGCCCCGGAAGGGTGCGCCGCCGCCCGGGGGGTAACCCCCAAGGGCGCGGGCCCCCTTTTTGGGGGCCCCGGGGACGGGGTCCCCCCCCCGGGGGCACCCCCAAGGAAAGGAGCCCCCCCCGCTCCTGGTTGCCC